ACCTACGCTTTCAGGTTCGCCATCCATGTGTACGACAGCAAGAGTTGCACCTTAACTCTTTTTCTCTCCTACTTATCAATGGAATGATACGCATCCTTACGTATTTGTGAAAGAAAAAGGAAAAATAACTTACTTCAAAAGTTTGAACTGATGGAGAGAGGCTAACAATATACTTCAACAGGGCAGATGAGACATAGATGGGAACGCGAGCCGGGCACAAGAGAAGTGTACACAGAAAACATGTACTATTGCTACAATAGTGAATCAGGCATACCCAAGGCGTGCATATCCAACACTGACCCGCAAATTCTCTCGCGCATCCGTAAAAGGACAAGGGGGGCCATTCCGCGGACAAGGATGCGGGAGGCGGCCATCCAATGCCGCCTGCATACATTTCGAACCAAATTTCAACTCGTCGGACGAAATTCATGCAAACACGGTGGATTTTCATATAAATCGGAGCACATTCATTACAATTGGGACATTTTTTCATATAAACTAGACGATATTCATTATATTTTGGACAATTTTAAACTAAACCCTATTCTAAACCTAATCTAAATGATCAGCGGTGCCCGTTCCCCATGTTCGGCCATGAGCCCTGAGACCTGAAGCTCCGGCTCTTGCCTTCGCCTTCTCCAGTTTTGCCTTGGTGCTCTCCAGCTCTGCCTCCGCACGCCACCACAACCTGAGCGGCTAATCAGCCGATGATTTTCAGCCTGCTAAGCTTGGCTTCAACGGGAGGAGAAGAGTGGTGGCCTTCTTGGGACCCAAGCGACGGTGACCTACCATGCACTACTCTTCCTTGTTGTCGGCGGAACCTGCAGATGTGTCGACTTTGTGGTCGTGGTGGTAGGGCGCGGCCTTGGCGGAGCCGGCGATGTCATCCTTATCGTCGTTCTTGCCGAACACCTTGTTTGCCACCCCTTCCATCTTCTTGTAGGCGGCCTATAATTCTGCTTGATATTGGCAGTACCACTAGCGGGCGTGGCGGTGTCACGGGCAGAGCGGTAGAACTCGAGCAGTGTTGCGCTCCGCCACGTACTCATCCAATGCAATGGCCATGCAGGTGGCGAGTTGCTCCTCCGCTAGCCAGTGCTCGCCGAGGAGACGGAGGTTTTAGGCCTGGTTGGCATGTGCCTCTCGGAACTTAGGCTCCCGCTCCTCCCACACCATGTCCATATAGTGGGCATGGGCCTCGCCGATAGTGATGCTGGCATGCACCGGCGAGGAGGATGGTGCCGACGCTTCCTCCATTGGGATGTTGTTGGCCTCCGTCTGCCTGCCGACCTGCCAACTAGTAGCAATGGTAGCCATCTCCTTATTTTGGTTGAACGAGAGGCCATCCCAGAGGGCTTTGGAGCATGAAGAAGCCATGGTTGGCATGGTGTGGAGAGGAGAAAGGGACATGAGGAGGATGACTGCAGCTATGGCCGAGGCTGGAGTTTATATAGCGGGCGGATGGCAATGGTGGGCGACAGAAGGATGGACGGGTGGCGCTGGAGTAGGTTCCTCGGCAACTGCATATCATTAATGTAGGGCAAAGGACCTTTGTGGTGTCGTTTGAACGTGGGGCAGTTGCGTGCACTAGGAAGTGGTGCGAGCAACACTCTCTCAGTCGGCGCGCTGCTTCAATGCCGACATCAGTGAGAGGTCGCATCAGCTCTGGCCGGGCAAGAATGCGTCACTGACTCTCTGTAGCGGCGCTGACCGTTTTGGGTGGGAAGCACGCGTGGGTGAGGGAGGGGGTTTGGGTGGGCCGGGGCAGTCAGTAGTGGACGTGGTAGTGGTCCGGACGTTCGCAACCCCCTTGTCTCCAGTTTGCGGGAAAAGTGCATCTGGATCGTCGAGCGAACCAATACAGGCACATGTTGGATGACAAAACATGTACGGACCTCGCAGTCCGGACGTGTGCGGGTGGTTTGAGGGTTGGCATTGGAGATGCCCTAAGTGAACCTTACCAAATGTCTATGGGCAACGTGTCCACAAACTTGCGGATGAAGGTTGTTGAATCATGTTCCTCAAATTCTCCCTTGTTTTCCCACCTTACTTTTTTGAAAAATATATTAGATTAATCGCAACTTGACCATATATTTAAATAGTTGCAAACAAATACAACTACTAGCAAGATGATCAATGTTCATGAAGCTTTTTACATCCCTCGAATCCAAAAGCGGAAGAACTGGCTATCCCAACCAAATACCTCAATTTTCAGCCTCTTCCCTCTTTATTTGTACAAAGCGTGCTATCATGCTATCACACAAAGGTGTGAAGAAATTTGGCCGCATCGGCATCCAAGTCGTCGGCCTTCACGTATAAGATCTTTTGCTCCTCGAATGTGTGCTTGGTCACAAGCTTTCTCTCAACGAGCTCAAACTTTTTCGTTTGTATTTCCATGAACATGTTAAACCTCTACATCTACTTTTCTCCTTGAGGTCATCACGCTTGCCACTTGCCTCCTTATTCCATATGATGCCCTCAAATTTCTCCGTCATCTTGGCCGTCGCCCCTTCTCGCTTCTCCTTTTCCCATTTCCTCCCTCTTGACCTAGCCACATGGGTTGCCGGTGCAAGCTATCCTTTGGTTGGATCACCACCTTCATCACCTGCTTTGTGTTGGTGCCTTAGACAGAAACTGCGACCGGACGAGCGTTGGCGACTAGGTGAACACGTAGTCGTTGTTGAGGTTTATGATGTATGGTGGAGGGTGGCCGGAGGCGGAGGTGATGGAGGCGTGGAGGGTTGCGGTGATTGTTTGACGGTACTGGTGGGCAGCGAAGTAGTACGACAACTTATATTGGTGGGCCAGGGCTGCGATAGCCTGAGTGCCACCGCCAGGATGGTCCGATGTGGAGGAGGAGCCTCGGGCGGAGTGGCTGCATGAGCTTCTTCTCAGCCCTCTCCTTCACGCGTCGACATTTTTTGTGAATACGCTAAGTGTGTGTATCATTTCATTGGTAGAAGGAAATAAAATGAGTACATGAAATGATACAACACATGGCACAAAATATACATCGGAAGGTGTGGGCATGGTACCCGGAGCAGAGAGACAAGGGATGCTCAACCAGAACAGAGGAAAAAGCACAACAAAACCCACCAAGCCTTGGACTAGAGGGGCAGGCTGAACCGGTATGATATCGATCATCTCCAGACACAACGGGGATGCCACTAGCAAACAAGATAGCGCCTTCAAGAAGGGGAGCGACATCATGCAGCCCCTGTCTTCTGATATGAAGAACCGGACCAAGGGTTTCCCCAGTGCTCGGAGAAGGGCACATATAGAGGCTACATTAGCGCCACCAAGAAGGGAAATGACACCCACGAGTGTCGCCACTGCCAGCATTCGCCAGCCGAGCAAGGATTTCACCCTGGACTGAGTTCGAACAATCACAATGCCGCAAGATCGGGGGTCTGGAGACGAGGAAGTCAGTCCATTGGTCGAGACCACCACCTCAAGAGGGGGTTGCGCCTACCTTGGGAGGTTGGCACTGGGCATCACCCAAAAAACACGAGCTTTGGGCGTGGCAGGCCGTGGAGGTGGATGAGTCGGGAAGGCTGCAGGATACAGAAAGCTGACAAAGAGGATGGGATGGCGACCGACGTGACCGGCAAGCCAGGAGCCGAAAGGGAACACAAATCCAAGCTACCGAGGGCGGAGTCACCGGGCCGGCGATGAGCCAAAGGCAGGAGAGAATGCAGCAACTAGGACCACGCCGACAAACGACGCCAGCAGGGCGTGGACGCTCGAGAACGCAGGTCCATGGCTGTCGGGACCGGAGCAGCGCCGACAAAGGGTTCGCAGCAGGGCCTCAACCGCCTACCAAGAAAACCACTATGACCACATAATTCGGTAGAAAGCATCACCTCGGCTCGGAGGAAGCACCATCGAAGACAAGGAGCGGTCTGCAACGATGCAGAACCAAGCCTTGACTAGCTTGGCCGCCACCACTCATGTGTTGCACCCAACCACCACCAGCACAAGAGGGGAGCTATGTCGTCATGGGAGGGAGGGACCATGGTGGGGTGGGGTGGGGAGCATGACAGAGGAGGACGTGACAACCGGAGGCGAGAGGGGCAGCCTCACGCGGAGCCAAACTGAATCTGGTGAGAGGTTTGGGGTAGGGCCGTGGTGCGCCAAGGATAAAGCCGCCAGCCGCCACCATACCAGGGTGGAGCGTGGCTTTGCCGACAAGCCTTTCAGCGGTGGCGATGCAGAGGGGCCGACGGAGGAGGGACCTACCAGCGGTGGCTAGGATTTCCCTCGTGTCGCCAGACGCGGGTGACACGAGGTCTCTGTTTCTGTTCAGCTTCAGGCGTCGCTTTTGACGTAACGAGGATGCGGCCAGACTTCTCCATGTCTGACGAGACGACGAACCTCGTGATGGGCCTTGGTGATGGAGCCGAAGAGGGTGGGGTTCGACACGAAAAGAATGGGGATTGTCAAGATGTGTGGGTGTCGGCTAGTTCTTATATGGGTTCAGGGTGTCGGAGTCTGAGCTGGCGAAGTGGCGAATAACCGGACTCCTCCTGAGTTTCCCAAGTTTGAAATGGAGTTGTAAGATTTCTAGCGTCCGAACCAATTCGGCTCAAACATTTGGAGGCGTTTTGATGGCCCGTGGCCGTGATTTGAGATGCCCTCGCACAGTAGCAATGCGAGTATGAGATCCTCCTAGACCGGGCGTAGGTTCCCCGAGAGTGAGAGCAACGGCGCACGCCAAAAATACCCCGTCGTAAAACCGCGTTTCCCTCCCAAAGCCGACGAAATCGTACCCAAGCTCACCTCACCAACCAGCCCGAAAGCAAAGCCCACGACCGCGTCCGCAAACACACACGCGCATGCGTCCAGCCCCGGCCAGCTCCGGCCAATATATAAACACTCACCCGCGGTGCTTGCTGGCCACCTACCATCCACCATTCCTCCTGCGTAGCACCACGCCGAGCCAACACCCAAGAACGGCGGCAGCCAGCTAGCTTGCAGACTCGAGGGTCGGGGCCGTCTCCATGGACCGATCGGTTTCCGGCGGGAGAGGGTACTACTACTCGGCGGCGCCGGTGGGCACGGGCATGGGCATGGGCCCGCTCGCGGGCCAGCTCGGCGAGTGGCTGTTCCGGGCCGTGCAGCCGCCGGCGCCCACGCCGTGCGGGTCGCCCGGCGGGCCCCCGATCACCGCGCCGCGGGTCCGGATGAGGGACGGCCGGCACTTGGCGTACGAGGAGTCCGGCGTGTCTAAGGAGACCGCACGGTTCAAGATCGTCTTCTCCCACGGCTTCACCGGCTCCCGCCTCGACAGCCTCCGCGCATCGCCGGTTAGTACTGCACATACATTCTCCTAACTTGTCGTCTCGCCACCCCCGCCCGGCCGGCGAGCTCATTATAATATGATCACGCGTCTCTCTCGCCGTCGCTTACACCGTCTGCGCAACGACTTGATTTCAGGAGGTCGCCGAGGAGCTTGGCGTGTACATGGTGGGATTCGACCGCGCCGGCTACGGCGAGAGCGACCCCAACCCTGGCCGCTCCGTGGAGACCGCGGCGCAGGACATGGAGGACCTGGCCGACGCGCTGGGGCTCGGCGACAAGTTCTACGTCGTCGGCTTCTCCCTCGGCTGCCACGCCGTGTGGGGCGCGCTCAGGTACATCCCGGAGCGGATCGCCGGGGCAGCGATGCTGGCACCGGTGGTGAACTACTGGTGGCCCGGGTTCCCGGCGGAGCTGGCGGCCCGGGAGTACGGCCGGCAGGAGCGCGGCGACCAGTGGGCGCTGCGCGTTGCGCACCACGCCCCCGGCATCATACACTGGTGGATGGAGCAGAGCTGGCTGCCCCTGCCCACCTCCACCGTCGTCGTCAACACTACCTACCTCCCCAACAAGCGCGACGCCGAGATCCGACGCACCCTCACCGCCGACGGCACCCTCCGGAAGAAGAGGGAGATGGCGACGCAGCAAGGGATCCAGGAGTCGTACTACAGGGACATGGCCGTCATGTTCGGCAAGTGGGAGTTCGACCCCATGGCGCTGCCGGAGCCGCCGTGCCCGGTGCACCTGTGGCAGGGCGACGAGGACGGCCTGGTGCCCGTCGCGCTGCAGCGGCACGTCGCCGGGAGGCTCGGCTGGGTCAACTACCACGAGCTTCCCGGCACCGGCCACTTCCTGTCCGCCGTTCCCGGGCTCGGAGACACCGTTCTCCGGACACTTTTCGGTTGATCGACCAATACCAGACAAGTAGTTTTAGTACAAGAAAACGCGGAGAAGTGTTGGCCTTTAGCTAGCTTGGCGTACGAGGCGGGACAGTATGTCTATTTCTTGATTAATTTATACCACTACTGTACATGGGAACATGAGGCAGCATGTAGATTTTGTATTTATACTCCTTTTTTCATTCGTTTGTAATGAAAACTATGCCGACAAAAAGCTTACTAGTGACATTTTTACCAAGATGGTGATCCCGTATGTTAGTAAAATTTTAGAAACTGCATGGTTTGTAAAGTTTTTATGTACAAACTGAGACTGTGGGTGTGACTGTATTTTTTATTTTGTTTTAGTCTTTTAGACAACAGAAGCAGGTTGGGACGTTGGTTAGAGAAATGAAAGAGGTTTTATTTCGTACACTCAACAAGACCTGGTCTACAGGGCCAGCGAGTTTCAGGCAATATTAATTCTTGTCCTTGACGAAATCATTGGTGGTAGATACAGAGACAAATTGGACCTCTTCCTCAACAGGACCCCCAACACAATCAAGGATCAGAATAACAGTTCGTAGTTTAGAGAAGAACTGGTAAGTTGGTGAACCCGTGTCTGTCCCTCGTCATTCCATCTATTGCACATCTAAATCCTATTCATTGATTTTACACGAAGATTCTTGCAAGCATTTTCTTTTGTCTTTTGTCTTTTCTTTTAATTTAATTAAATTATTTAGATGTGCAATAATTATGGGACATCTAGATGTGTCCTAAACAGACACTTTCAATAACAGTTTTGCCAAAGCTTATTGAAACATGCCTCCGTTGATGGTAGTTTATTTTAGAACATACCTCTGTAATTTAATGTAGGACGTTTTAGCAGTTATGCTTAACTGCTAAAAGGTCTTACATTAAGTAGTAGTATAAATTTTTACCCCGGCTTGTAACATCTCTAAACAAAGAAACAACAAAATTCTAGGTGTAGAGATGCGCTATGCCCCCGGAAGTTTCAATACGTAGCTCATTTGATCTGCGAGATACGAGGAAGACAAATACTTGATGAAATAAATGTGAATACACTATAGTAGCAAAGTATGTCCACCGAAATGCAATGGAATTGGGAGCACCTATAGCGCATGCACCTGAATGTTTTGTTTCCGCAAGTCTATTCCCCTCTCCCTTAAGAGTCGTTGGATTAGGATCCAACTATCCCCACTTCGTCATCCACCTCATGTCTTCTTCTACCTCGCGAAAAGAGAAAACAATCACTCCCCCTTCTTCTACTTTGGTTCTGACACCGCGCCTCACTGTTGTTCACTGCGGCATCACCTCCTCCAACGCGGAAGCTACCTGATCCGATCGGTGGTCGTCGTTGGCTACGACGCATTCCTGGCTCGGCCTCGTCGGGGTCATCACGCCTTGATGTTGCTCATCTTCTATAAAATTCAGGTGCCTGATAAATAGCAAAAACGAATTGAATTATACCCGTTCTGTCAGGAAATAACTGTCGCTCAAACGGATGTATCAAGAGAGCAAGTACTATATATGTTTGAGATATTTTTTTGCATATTACCAAGTTTGATTATAGTAGACATTTCTCCGTGTAATAACTTAGGGTAAAGAGCTACTTTCTCCTACCCAAATTATTTGAAGCTCTAGCATTGTCT